TGTCCCTGTCACTGTTGGTATGACCAATGGAGCCTCAGATTTACATGTTGAACATGAAAATGGTACGAAGCCATAGAGAATTGAGAGTACCAATTTATACAAATCGTTCGGTTCAGAAAAGTTTGACTTGTACGGAGTTAATAAAGAAACGGAGGAGAACACTGCGCCAGTGGTTCCTTCTACTATATCTGGAGTTGACTTTTTGGAAAAACTGAGGGCACATAATGAATTTAACCGAAAACTGAAGCTCACTATGGTACCTGCTGAGGTATACCTTTCACCTACTTCCTTATTTATATTTTTATTTCAAGTAATATGCATAATGCATCTGCACTTAGTAATTTGGAATGAATATGAATTTTCGGCTTAGAATGTTATATATTTACATATTTATCGTGTGCATATTTACGAATGTTTGTAATTTTTTTCACTATGCTAGGAGAAAGGATCTGACTTTAACGTTATAACGTCGAAACGTGAGGCTAACAGTACTGTAGATGAGTATAGGACGTCCGTGTTGAATTATGAGGATTTGGACGACGAAGGAAAAAATGTAGCCTTATTTTCCTTATCTGTAAAGCTTTATTTGTAGAGACACAATTTGTCATTTAAAGTGGTTAAGTTTGAAAATTTTAGGATTCTGAACATCTTGTAGGTGGAGAAGATAGTAGCAAAGCGATGGAATTGGATAAAGTTCTAGTTGATAGAAATCTCGATTCTGAGGACGAAATAGAGTGGTAGTAGCGAGTTCTTCTTTAAGGAAGTCCAATTTATTCTTACCACTATTTTAGGTTTGTAAATATGTGGTTTTTTCCGTTTACGGAGTAGTTTCATTGCCATTTTTGATTGTCTCTTGTTTTTATCGTACCATTTCTTGAAGTGATCTCAAGTGGTGGACCCTTTACATGGGATGGCTCCATTTCATACACGTGGTGTATAGTTTTACTGCTATGTTATGGTTTCTGTTTGTTATATAAATAGGCCACCTCATCAATGAACCCTTGAACGTCTTTGTTTTGTTATCTTTCAGGACGTATTTCTGCTTCTTGTTTTTTTTCCTTGTGGTGGTACTCTCATGTTAGGATGATCTCACGTGTTGTTCTCATTGAATATTCATGAATTCAAAAAAATTCAATGAATATATAAAAATATATTCATTGAATTGCCACGGACCTCTCACTGTTTATGTTTTTTTGTGATAATTTTGTCAGCTCTCTGAGGGATTTTTATTGCGGTGTTTTTGAGTTGTAAGTATAAGAGCGATATTAGTCATATGTTGTTGAATTTTGCGGGAATGAAGGTCTCTCATTACTTCGAATTGTCCTCATTTACTGTCTACTACAGGTGTATTTCTGGCTTTTCGTGCTAACTAACCCATCGCGAAATTCGTGTACCGTAGGTTCCCGAGAAAAATGCAGAACGTGGGATGGGATGTCTTACAGTATCTCTGAAAAATAATCGGACTTTTTTAACTTTTACATGACTTGTCTTCACATGTACTGTTAGGGTCGCAGTACTTCTCACATGATTCGTTTCCTTGCATCCATCATCACAAAGGTCTACCACTTTTTACGTGTGGCTTCGACTGTTGTTTGAGGATTTTCTTTTCATCTTGAATGGCATAGAATGCTGGTCGAGTCGATTCTCCCAAGAGTCCTGAGATAGCCGGGTTGAAGCGTTCCCAGTTGGATTGCAGAGAGTGGTTTTTCCCGAGTAAGACCGGTATCAATTTCTCGAACCAGGAGAGACGAGGGGCTTAGTGAGCCCGGGGCTGGATCGAACCAGCATTGTGCTTGTGATATTCAGTATCATTACCACTGAGTCGAAGGCACGGAGTAGAAAAGTAATGCTGCGTTGAATGCATAGAAACTTTTACAGTACAAATTTCTGTTCTTATAATAACATACAATTTGTGCTCCTGAAAAGCACCACATATCACAGCGTAGCAATCCAGTGAGTTATGGTTGTGGTGGGCCAAATACAGAGATGTTTTCTTTTTTATCTTTTTTCGAGAATATATTAAGGGCATGGGGTGGCCCCTAGTTTTGTGCAGTTAAGGTAAGTGGAAAGAAATTCGACGCTCTAAGTGCTCAGATTTTCTCGTTCTGCTTAGGTTCACTTTGAAGGGAAAACATCTGGAGAGAATAGGAAGACGGACACTGGTCTGTTACATTTAAATACCACTTTGTCTTAGGCGATACCACAGTGGAAAGTGCACAGTTGTCAGATTTAAAAAGGAGGCAAGTTGGGAAGTAAGTTATCTTGACTAGAATTGTATACTAAGAAAGATTCTTAGATTTTGCATGATGGAAACACTGACAAGATTAAACGAAACTGATTGTAGGTTCCATGCTCATCATGTTTTTACATTGGCTGGAAAGTGGTGCTATGTGTAGAGCTGCGATGTAGAGCTGGAGTCCACCCCACCACCAGGACCTCCCGAACTGAGAGGATGTCCGGCGTTTCCAGCTGGAAGCCCAGCTAGGAGTAAGCCGGTACCAGGATTCACCACCGTCCTTGTATCGAACTAGTCTCATAGTGGCAAATCTCCCTTTGATTCACAAGGGCGGCGACTCCTCTGGTGGCGACGACCTGGTGTTGGACTTTGGCCAGGTCGACCTCGGGACTTCATGGGACCATAGTGGCTATGCCACCAAAACTCCGAAAAAATGAAAACAATGTCGGAATCCGCACAATCAGTGAGGATGGAGCATCAAAGTATGTTCTCACATTGCGAAAAGCTGCAGTCCTGTGTCGTCCTTCAGAAGTATAGGGAACAGCGAATGCTATTCCTTAAATCGGATAAGGAAATGGAATTGAAATACTTTGTGACCTTTCTGTCTATGACACTTTATGTGGTATCCGGAACTGTGTGTTTAGGTATGATTTGAACTTAGGGGCCAATTACAACATGCTAATAGCAGTTCAAAGGGCGCGCGTAACGCAGTGGTCTAAGGCGCTCTGCAAAACACATGGAATCGATCTCCGCACCGCAGGCTCCCCAGACCTACCGTCCCGCCGGGGACGGCAAATTGGTGCCAGGCTTCTCTGGAAGGATAACAGCATTGGCTCGATATAACGGTAGACCATCGGGAGTCATTGTAAAGGCGAAATATGCACTCAGTCACCTCTAACGATACCTAATGAAGTCGATTGAATGACGCCTCCCGTAGAGATTGATTAACGCAAAGAGCTTTGTTCTTTTTGTCCTTTAATATGTTCACAAAACCCATGTTAATGTTTGCAGTGCATATATATGAAGTACTACGATGCGCTAACTTATCACATAGTAGCGTACCAGGTACTAGTTGAACTGAAAGGAAAAGAATGAGAAAACTCGCGGATCTTATCTATGTGGTGTCGACGTCGTCTAGTTGTTTTGATGGCAGTGAGAGGTACAGAGTTCAAAGCCGCCGACGTTTTGTCCAATCATAGCCACTAATAACGCCAAGTTACATATCTAGGTTGTTTTATAATTGATTCTCCTTCTTGGAGTTTTTTTTTAGCTAAGCAGTCAGGATACTGTATTGATCTTGACCGCATATTAGAGTTTATTGTTATGAAATCTAACTATGTTGCCAAAGTAAAGTTAAGCTTAGGTCGCAATCATTTCATTTCCTACTAAGCAGGACGCCAGGTAGCTCGATGTAATTCAGCGCCTCTATCAGCGGTCAATGATTGTTCAGAAATGACACCCACATTCTTCTTGGACTTCATGTTCTGTATTATTCCGTTAAATATCAGATATATTAAGAAATCAACCACAACGATACTGAGGTATTTGAAAAACACCGGACAGCAGGTGTCTGCGATGGGGAACGAGCACGCCATTACCCTTTCCGGAGATTAACGCGTTCACCACCACACAATGTACGTCCTTTGTTCCGCCTTTCTCTCAGCTAGGTTTCTACCAACCGGTGCCATCAGCAATCACCCATCAACGGGATTGATCTCAGGAGCCCACATCGGCATTGAACCCGGTTAAGCTTGGGCTGCAGTCGAAATGGAAATGTTAACTTCTTTTCAAATGTTTGGTCTTTTCTCGTAATTCTCAATTTGTACATGTCTTGTTACTTTTCTTTCATATTGAACTATTGGGAAGGATTTGTTGGATAGGTTAATCACAAACTGTGGTTTTGGATGTTTAGAATGGGATAACGGTGGAAGCTATGGAGTTCTCAATTTCAACTGATGGTGACCTGATGGCATATCGATGAGAAGTTTGAGGACAGGATGAGCAAGCATCCCGTTGGCTTCAACTTCACTGGGTATCCTGAAGACGGTTTGAAGTTCTCTAATGGTGTAGTTTTCCTTGAGGAAGGTAATTTTGCTTTGTATGAGAACTTCAAGTTCCAGGTGTTTTGTGCCTCGACGTACAAACGCATTATTGATTTACTATTCAGACTTATCACTACAAGAAGCTTCTTCATCGGCATCGTTAAGCTGCCCAGAATCAAACATTTTGTCTGGTCCTTACAGAAGTGAAGAACTCGTCCAGAATGTTTCTAACGAATGGTGGCGGAACAAGTTGCGAAAGTATGTAGAAATCTTCTCATCTAGTTTACCAAGCTATCTTGTCCCTACTGAAGAAACTTTGGAACAACTTCTTGTATAGTCAAACTGACCACAATCTGCACGGCCAAATATCTCCATAACCAAACAAAGAAGATGCTAAACCAAAATTTCAGTCACATTGAGCACAGAATGGCTTCTTCGCACACTCACCGCTCTCTATGAGTCTTCTGCAAAGAATACGTGTGCATAGTATCCACTATGTATTCAGTGTGATTGAAATCTTAACTTAGCATTTTCTATGTTTGGTTATGGAGGTGTTTGGCTGAGTAGATTACGACCAAGTTGGCATTTCCAGACTGAGGGAGGCGAAATCCGCCGAAATGTCAGCTTGTTTTTAAATGAAGAAGTGAAATAACACCTCATGTTTGCTCAACAAAAGTACAAAGCACTGTTCGATCAGTGCCGAGGTTAACAGAAAGTCGGTCATGGGAGTTTCTGCGACTTTATTTAGAGCTGGTTCAACATGGTCTTCATGGCGCTCTGAGAAGTCGGATCCAACGTCTTTTAACTGGAAGAACAAAATATCTTCAATGTGGAATAGTATAAAGTACTCCGGTAATCGTTATGATAAGTTCCCTCTGTATTTTGTTTTGCTATTCCGTTTTGTGCAAATTTTAGGAACATGGATGCATCTTTCTGACGACAACTATTCTTCTGAAGACTTCAAGCTCATCGTTTTGCTTGGACAATTCTATTATCCGGAAGGAAGCGGTGTGTTTTCACAGATCACTTTTCATGAATTCGCCTGACCTGAATTGCTTCACCATTTCCAGTCTTTTGTAAGATAAATATTTAAACCTTTTGAAATGGGAGAAACCGGAAGAAGAAACTAAAGAAAGTCATTGTCCGTGGTATTATTTTTTCCAAACTTAAACATTTGTTCAAGTCGAATTCATTATTGTGAAACGCAGAAAATTCTTGTGGTGCCAGCTTTTCGGACTTTTGCCGTGATTACTATTCGCGAATTTGGATAACATATCGGACAGGAATGCCGCCTTTGCTTGGGTCTACAGTGAGTTCCTCAGATAATTCTTCACATTTCCTTATCTTTATTGTGGGCGCGTGTAGCGCAGTAGTCGGAAACGCCCAGCAATAGACCGTGCCCTGGCTCACCGAGCCCTCTATCCTTCTGAGGTCGCAAATTGGTACCATACTTGTCTGGGAGGATAGCAACACTAGCTTGATACATCAGCAGGCCACCGCGTTTCATTATAAAGGCTAAATATGCATTCAATCACCTCCAAACGATGCTTAATGAAGTCGAATGCATGGCGCATCCCTCAGCGATTGATCAACAACGAGAGCTTTATACTTTATTCTGTGGCCCGACATAACATATATCACACTGTACGGGTGCCAGAACTTCTTCAAATCTATTCGTTTCCTTGTAGTCATCATTTATAAAGATTCTCGAGCTTTTTTTAGATTGAGATTGACAATAAACATTTAGACTACGAGTGACTGCGGTTGGGGTTGTATGATTCGAACAACTCAAATGGCTCTTGCGCATGCTATAGTAGTCAATAGGCTGAGTCGAGGTAGTGTGAATAGTTGCTCTTCCTTCTTTTTTCACTTACAATTAGACGTGTTGCTTAGAATGGCGCGTTTTTCAACATAAACAACTGTCATCACTAAAAGAATTGCGACAACAGCTGAGGTCTGATCCGCTTGCCGATGCCCAGTTAGAGATTTTGAAGTTATTCGAGGTAAATCTTCAATGTTGTGTTATATGGTGTTCAATGTGTTGAACCGAAAGAAAATAATTTGAGAAGTCAGTGGCGCAAGTTACATAGATTATTACACTTGTTTCCTCCCAACGGTTTACCGCCTCATCGTGCCCGGGAGGTGTTCTCGGGTGACGGGCTGCGTTGTACAGCGGTGGGACTCATCTTCCTGACAGGATCACCCAGCTGAGAAGGGGTTTGGCGCTTTCATCAGGAAGCCCAGCTAAGAGTAAACCTATACCAGGATCCACCGCCGTTCTGATACCAAACTAGTTGCATGGTGGGAAATCTCCTTCTGATCCACAAGGGCGGCGACTTTCTGTGGAGGTAGCTATTCGGAGCAGAGTTTGGCCAGGCTGACATCGGGTCTCCAAGGAAACAGTGGCTTAGCCGGGAAAACTCCGAAAAATGGAGCTTACGCTGGGTCCCGCACAACCAGTGAAGACGGGCCTTCCAGTTATCCAAGTAAGTAAGTATTACACTTGTTCTTCTTATTATGAGGCTTGCACCCGTATTTTACTATTTGTATTATCTCATTAAGGACTGTCAGTCAGCTCCGCTTGGCATCCATCGGCTGCTTGAAATTTCATGTGCTGATGGAGTGGCTGTTAATCCCATTGGACGATGGTATGCACCATCCGAAGTGCTATCGTTGGTCAAGTGGGTCTTTCGTTATCGTTTTAAGAAATTGGTGTGCCATATGTAACTTTTTTTTAGGAAAGCATTGAAACTGTCTCTGTCTCCATTGACAAGCGACCTCTCTTTATTACTAGCTGTAGATGGCCAGGTTGTAGTTGGGGATGCCGAGCGGGAGAGTCGTGCTTGGTCAAAGTGTCTGCTCCTATTTGTTCCCCTTCGGCTAGGTACGAATCGGGTGAATCCGGTAAGTTGACAACAGTTTACCTTTCGGAAACAAAGATCTAAGTGGAGTTTCTTTGTTTTTATCTGCTAAAAATAGGATCCAGATGTAAATTCAGCTGTATAACTACCACGTCCGGCATATCTTATCCCTCAGAACTTGCCTTGGTATTATTGGTGGGAAGCCGGATCATTCACTCTACTTCATTGGTTGCTTCGGCCATGTTAGTTGTCTTTGTTAATTATTGACAGCATCAGATATCAGTTTCGAAAACGTTATTTACTTCCATTTTCTCATCAGCAAATTTCACTTTGAATAGATTAGGTTAGTACGTAAGTTCTTATCATCTTTTACCATACTTCGTTTTTAAAAGTGTTTCTTATTGTGACCCTTTTGGTCTCATGTGGATAAACTTTGTCTCGTTTCTTATTTAAGGATGTAATTTATTTGGATCCTCATGTAGCACAGGAATATGTGCCGATATCCGTGTTGGATAGATCATCACTAGAAGGCGAGGAAAAGGTCAAATTGAACAATTATCTCGTAGGATTTTTCTATTATTTCCATTTTTATGCTGAACGAAATCAGTTCGGAGATGTTTTGCTGGTTTGTAACTGGCCGTTGACTTGCTCCTATTAACGACAATATTACTACTTGATGACTAAGAAGTAGATTAAAATCTATCTAATTATTCTGCTCAACTTCATAGTTCCTTTTTGATCTTCATTTTCTTTTGTGGAAGATAACTTACTTGGATACTCGAATGTCCCGTGTTCACTGGATGTGCGAACTCCAGCATAATTTCCATTTTTTCGGAGCTTTCCTGCTCTAGATATTGTGGTTTCCTGGAGTCCCGGGGATCAGCCTACCCATACTCTGCCCCAGCTCGTCACCACCACAAGCTATGGCCGCCTTTGTGGATCAGAGGGAGATTTACTGCTATGCGACTAGTTTGGTACCAGGACAGTGGTGGATCCTGGTATTGGTTTACTCTTAGCTGATCTTCTTGATGGAAACGCCGAACTCCTCAGCTTAGGATTCCCACTCTGACACCCAGGAACACCTCCCAGTCACGATGAAACAGTAAACTATTGGGAGGTGGAAGACAACATGCAACATAATTGCGTTAAAAATTCAATCCACTTCATGGTGATTTGGAATAACGTCGATTTTTGCGTATCACACGCATGGGACAGCTTCGTCAATGCGTTGTGACTCATATAAAACCCATTAGTTAGCTAATGTTAATTGAAACGTCTATGGATGTCCAAACCAGGACTAAACAGTTTTCACGAGTACCAAGTAAAGTTCAGAAAATGATAAAGAAATAAAAATTTAAGATCGAGAAACGAAAACATCCTCTGTGTACATACCATTGTCATTCGTTCTCCAAAATGGCGATGAAGGATATGGATCCGAGCTGCGTAGTGGGATTTATGTTTAAATGCAGAGAAGAGATGGATGAGTCATTCCGTATTCTAAATTTAGTGCGTTGTACCACCTTTTTTCTAATGTTTTTCGCCAGCTAAATTCCGTTTTCAGAGTTGATCAGCTCAAGATTTTTGTTTTATAGAACCAAGTAATTGACATGGATTTGGGACCAGGCGAGGGATCAAAACGTACTAAGGATCCGCTCTTTTCTGTTCGCTACCATGAGGCGCCTATGTATATTTCACACCAAGAAGTGACCGATGATGAGCGACGACAGGCTCTAGAGCACGGATTCGAAATGCTTTAGCTTATGTGGTTATAGATGTTGTCACAGATAACTGGCAGGGAAGCTCTCAACTTGTAGATAATGATATTTTGTGTCGTACAAAAAAGGTCATTGCTCCACCAGCCTTTTTCTCTCTTTTTCAATATTTACGTATCTAATTTTGCTACACTGACTTCGCCTTTCACTATCACTTTTTATCTGTGTATGTGCAACATTCTATGCCTTTTTGTATCCTAGAGAGGCACTAGTACAAGACTAGTAGTTTTAAGTAAAACAAAAGTTTAGATATTCTAGTGTTCTTTTTGTCAGTAGGGTTTACGAACGCTTCTAATTGTAGTACTACTTTTCTTGATAGGATTTACGGACGTTGCAAAGGCACTGGATTAGAACGAACAAGTAGTAGAAAAGAATAAAAAACGCACTATGGAAGTGAAAATGGAAAGCTTGAAATTTTTATTTTAGTGAAACTTCAATAGATCTCGCGATAAGTTGAATTTGAAAATGTTGCGTTATCTTGGAGGTTGCTGGATGAAAAATTTCATGGGCTAACCTTAAACTTGTAAGGCAAGGTTTTTATCACACTGCTGTTGACTTCACGAAGATGATGCTGACGTACACCATTTTTCTAGTTTAAGGGAAAGGCCTATATGCAATAATGTTACTATGAGGACTGCTTTCGTGCACATTTTAAACTACCACTTCAAGACATAGGAATATCACCTGTCATCTGTATCACCTGTAATCCTGCTCATCGTCGAGTGACTCGAGTGGGTGCCAGTAAATCTTCCATTTTCCCAGTCGTCTGCAAGAATAGCTGAGTGGGTTCTACTCGCTCTAGGGACTCGTTGAGCATCATATCTTTCTTCTAGGCTTTTCGTGAAGAGCTCTTGCTATCGGGAGGTGGTCTTCCTACAGTGCGTTTGACATCCCAAGGAATTAAGTCACTAACGGCTCTCGTCTATCGGTTGTCATTCATGCGCTTTACGTGTCCGGTCCATCTTATTTTCCACAGATCAAAAATCAAAGATGCAATGATGAAATCAAAGGAATGCACCAATTTGTACTAGTTGGTGCAAGAGGTCGGCCGAATGGTAGCGTTGAGTTGAGTTGAGCTGAGCTTAGAGTTCGACTCGGATAGGCCAATGCACCAATTTGTGCTTGTTGGCCAGTGGATTAGGGAGTTGGTCGGATTGGTCTTTTGTCCGCCAATTGTACGTGGAATGCTCGACTTTGTATGAATTGGTCACGCGGGTCTTTTCTCCGTAACTTTCTTGAACAACTTCGAGTTTGGATATAATAGTTTATAGCAACAATAACGATACAATAATAGTGTGTGATATTTGACGATATGTAAGCTGAGTGGATACGAGCTAGATTGAAATGGGAACAAGTACACTTGAAGGAAGCTAGGCGGACCCTGGAGTTGGAGCACTGGCAACTTGGAAGGCAGACACTTGTCTCTAAGACTGCTGGAACTCCTCCTATTTTGTCTGTAATGGGTGGGGTTTTACAGAGGGAGTTAGAGATAGTGCTGATTTAAGGCATGACACAGTGCATGCGGAGAAGTACATCAGATAAGACTGAATGCCAGGGGGCTGGTCAACATAGAACTTGATCAGATAGCGAGGGAATAGCTCGTTTAGAAAGGTTATATAAAAACAACGCAAAGGCTTAGGGTTATGTGAAAGAAATGAAATAGCTTGGACAAAGGTTTCTACCGGAAGTACATATGGAAATGGTCTAAGGACTTATGCATTATGAATGGGTAGATTTAAGGTAGTTATAAGCAAATAGTACAGGAAACATGCGATATCATAGAGAATAGGAACTATTTAAGGAATAATTACTATACTCTCCGCCGCGGTTAGGATTATGTCAGAATGTGCGTATTTGAGCTTAACAGTAGAATTCTATAACATGCAATAACTGTGAGAAGTGTACATAAAGTATTCTATGAAAGAAGGAAAGAAAAGCTCATTATGAAGTAAAGAAAATGCATGCGACGGGGACAAAGTGTGAGTGATGAAGATTAAGTTGTCGATGGACGTGGTTAGGTTGCTACGTGTTGTAGCTTTCTTGTCTATTTGATCAGTCGGTATTACTTCGTTTTCCTTTTCTTGTGGGCTATATTCTTGAGGACCTTCTCTCGGTTTTTGGTCTTCTCTAAATGATGAGTTGTGTGCGATTATGTGCCTTTGTGCTAGCGCGTGTTCTTGGTCGGAGGTTGTAGCAGTGTGTTAGGTTTTGCTCTGCTTCTTTTGAGTCTTCATTTGGAGGATCCTTTATATTTCCTCCTGTATCTGGCGCTTGTTGTTCTTCTGTTTCTCCCATTTCTAGCGGGATTAAATGGTTAACAGGTCTTCGAATAATTCTTTGGTTGGGTAATCTGACCTCCGCTTCTCTGATTACTCCACTTTCTGATTGTTGCAATTTGATTATGCGGCCCATTTTCCATGTATTCCGAGGTTGAACTGGCTCATGAATTAAGACCACTGTATCCACGGTTGGAATGCGTGGTGTGCCTCTTTTGTTATTGATGTTAACTTTGTGTGATCCTCGAAAACTCTTGAGATACTGTTGGCTCCAGATGGCCCAGTACTGTTCTATTAAGTCGTGACTAGATAGCAGAGCCAGTTTGGCTTCTTGCATTGTGCGAAGTTTACTCTCTTCTGGTGGAATGTAGTCTTTATCATTGTGATCTTCTTTAATGGATTCAAACGGGTATGTGATCATGTGATTATCATGTCACGTTGAATGAAGTCGATAGGTCGCAGTATTACGAGATCATCGGGCTCCTTCTCGATATATGTGAGTGGTCTGTTATTGAGACTTCCTTCGACTTCTATTATAAGTGTTTCTTACTCCACCTCCGTTGGAACCTTCTTTTGCAGAACCTTGTAAAGGGAGTGTTTACGGATTTTATGAGTCGTTCGTAAAATGCCTCCTGCCACGGGGCATAAGGCGTTGTTGTCTTCCTCGTAATTCCCTTTGTTGCCACGGTCTTTGCAAACAGAGTCTTCTATAATCGGGAGGATGGCAGTTCGTAGTATTTGTTCCCCTAAAGAGGAGTTTGGTGCATTGTCCGAAGTGATAGTGGACGGTACTTCTCTTCTCGCAAAGAATCTTCGAAGCGCTAATAGTAGTGCGTTTGTTGACATGTTCTGAACCAGTTCGAGGTGAAGCAGTCTAGTGGTTGCGCATGTGATGATTATCTCGTAGATTTTTCTTACGTTTTCGTCTCGCTTAACTGATAGTGGGCCGAAGCAATCCATTCCCACATGTTCGAATGGGTGTGATCGTACCACCCGCCTACCAGGCAGATCCTCCATTGTTGGATATTTGTACGGCAGGCTACTCATTTTTTGACAGGGTACGCAGCGTCTTATGATTTTTCTTGCCAGGCTCCTTAATTTGTCAATCCAAAATCTTTGTTTAACTCTGGCCATTGTTTGGCTTGCACTGCAGTGGAATGGCAAATGTGCGTCGTGTACGATAATTTCCGCCATTCTAGTATTATTTATGATGAGCATAGGTTGGCGTGTTTTGATTGGCATATTAGCATGCCCGAGTCGTCCTTTAGAACGGATGATTCCATCGTTGTTTTTAAAAACATTCAACTTCGTAATAGTTCTTTCTAAGAGGGATGTAACTTGAACATGTTGATGATTGCAGATTAATACTTTAAGTGCGGTTTTATACTCTGGTGCTGTAACGTAAGGCTCTAATGATGTTGCATTGAGTTCTGGAACGCTCTGACAAATTCGTTCTCTGAACTCAGGTCGTACCTTTGATGTTATTTTGCTTATGTACCTAAGCATATAGGCTATTGTTCGCTGCGCCGATATGAGTTGGTTATACTGTGCCCAATTCACTAGCTCCCCTTCGAATGTTCCGACAGTGAGTATGGTGGTGTGATTCTCGGGTTCGCTGTTATTGGGCGTTAGCGTGAACAGACGGGCGTTGTGGCAGGTTAATGTTTACCTAATGAGTTTAGGTCCTTTCCACCACATGTGGTTTTGTAGTTCGTCATTGTTGAGCCCTCTAGTTGGACAGTCTGCTGGATTGTGGTTAGTATCTATGTAGCCAAATTGAATTAGTGTGGGTAGATCTTCCGCTATTTGTTGTATTTCCTTTGCTCTGTTTTTTATGTCTTCTGTGGGAGTTTGTGGGTTTTTGGGATCTTATCCAGCTAAGAACTATCTTGGAATCTGAGAAGATTATTATATCTGTGATGATGGTGTGGCTTTTTAGAGCTTCGTGGACAGATTGAGCTAACCGCATTGCCATTGTTAAGGCGTTTAATTCTAGTTTTGGTATAGTAGGGTTATCCTTGCGTGAAAGTAGCCTGGACTTTCCCATACGTAGCTGCGATTCATTGTGTGAGACTATGTACGCACAAGTGGCCATACACTGCTTACCTGCGTCTGCGAAAAGAACTAGTTTAGTTGAAACACTGATTTGGATGATTTCTCGCGCGATATTGACTTCAAATCAATTGGTATTTTCTACTATTTTGTTCCATTGTTGCTGGTGTTCGTTTGAAAGTAATGAATCCCATGTGTATTCGTAGTTCCATGGTGTTGCAGTTGCTAGTCGAAAATAGGCCTTCGAGTCAGTACTCGGCAGCGGATAGTCACTAGCTTTTAGCAGAATGCTCGACTTCGTGAGATAAATGCCACGCGGAAGTTTTCGCAGTTGTTACAGAACAATACTTCAAACTTGTGTAATTAAACCACTTATATACATAAATGCAACATTAATATAACACTAATACCGACAGATAACTACTAGCACAGAAATAAGGCACGTTCAAGACTATGACGTGCTGTACCTCCTACTTAAGTGAGGCTTACGAAGGTATAAGAGTATTGTAAATAATACTATTACAACATTAGTACTGTGATACCAGCAACCTGATAACAATGACAAGTAAGGGGATACGAACGATGGCGCCTGTACTGGCGCGTACAGTGGCCCAGATGCCGAAGGCTAGAACAACAGACGAGTGAGATGCAGATGAG